AGACGTTCAAACGTGCACGTGCGTGTGTTTGACCCCGGCCGAGGCGGTCGCATTTCAATGTAGCAGGAATGTATAGGCTCATGCACTGCGCTACAGCGTTCTAGTACACTCGAACGGTGCAATGTTATTGCCCTTTGAAGAACACCGGAATGTCGAAATTTGCGGAGCCCTAAACAACGGAGCCCCTTCATAATCATATCATCGTTTTGTGAATTAAAACCCCGAATATTATCTGAATGCACTCACATATAGTGCATTCACACTCATTTTGTCTCCACGCCATGACAGTTTACCACTCGCAGCCGCAGCTCTACAGCTGCGTAGGCATACTCGCGTCACTTCCACATCGTGAAACACCTGCACACCCGCTTGCGCACGACATTTTGTGCGTGCGAAGAATGTCGGGCATGCACGGGTGACAATATGGTTATTCCGTGAGTTCCGCAAAACAAAAGAGGCAAAAACTATACATGTCTGACAGTGTTGCTGTGGTCCCCGAAAACAAGGGCAGTCAATATTGATACCATGTAGTTATTTCTGGAGAAGCCGCGATGCAATAATTGAGAAGATTGACAACTTCGAGGAAAAGAAAAAAAAATTAGCACGCTTAGGCAAAAAAAGTTACATCTTTACATCACAACTACGCACAATAGCAATTTTTTTTCTTTCTTGATGTAGCGCGAAATCGGTGACAACGTAATGGCATAATAATTTGACATAGCTTTTATTCTAAAAGATAACTCCTCCTTTTTGTTCATTTTTCCAATAAGTTGCTCTCTTTGTGCACAAAACTCAACCAGCTGAGGCTTGCTTGCGCAGCGCTACACTTATTATAAAAAGGCAAGTTTGTAGCTAAGAATGTTGCTCTAGCAGCGGTAGGACTCGAACCCATGCCTCCGACGAGACTGGTGCCTAAAAGCAGCGCCTTAAACCACTCGGCCACGCTACCGACACAAAGTGACACTCAGCCGACCTTGTGCGTCGCGTAGTGCTGCGCTGTAGATTCACAATGTCAATGTAAACAGGCGCACTGTTTCTTATTATATATTCGTTGCACACGTTGCCGTATAGAATGCTATATATACATCCAAGCGGAAAGCAGTTCTCAGCTTCATTTTTGCGCAAAGCAACGTGGAATCAAAAGGCACTAGAAAGATTCCAAAAGGCGTTCCTCGAGGCGTTGGCCCTATGGGGGTAACGGGATGTCTTTTAACATGTAGCAGTCAGAACAAAAAAAATATATAATGAAAGAAGAGGACGAGAAGGTTCCTCATGATTTGAACCAATCGCGCTGGCTTTCAGTGCGATTGCGTCAACAAATATACACAGAGCGACGTCACACTAAGCAATCCTGGTACTTATTGTAGTCAGTACACTGAAGTCCAGCACTTTCCTTCAGGGTCAATTTTTGTGCATTTAGATTAAACTTTGTAACTGAACAAGAACCTATCTATATACACAAAATTACCATCTCGTCTAGTCACCTTTCAGATGCATATAACCTAGCTATTTTAGTGATATACAGATTGTGTGATAAATTTGTGTGTGCCTTTGTGGCTGAAGAAAGCCCTTCGAATGTGAAAACACCCCGCAAATGAAATGCTACATGCATCAGAGAGCGCCTCTCTCAGACATTCTTGCTAAAGAAGCAGGCTGTATTCAGGCAAAAAACGGGGAAAGAAGACGCGATCACGCGAGTGTACTTTGTATGCCACGCCACAGCAATACCACGGAGTCGCTTTGGTGTAAGAGTGAAATAAGCTTTGACAGCTCTTGTAGTGGTGTCGATAGAGTGCTAGAACGATTACGCCTTTTTTAACCACCAGACCTTTCACCTCAAGCCAATTGACAAAGTGTTTGTCATAACAGCACCGCGGTATTACGTTATCATTTGGATCAGTTTGCTGGGAAACAGATCGTGATGGTGGCGTAGAATGGAGTTAAATGACTCCTGCCTTGAGCGGTGGACAACAGGCAAAGTCATTCTATATCACACTTTTCGTGCTTAACAAAACTTACATGAACCTTGCCGCAGAATGTTAAAGTAGCGGACACACTCCCTGTCTGTTTGATCATATGTTCTGGTCGTGCCCAAACCAAGGGCCTTCGGATGTAAACAGTTAGAAAGACTGGAGTTGGCGCATATCGAACAATAGGCTTCAAGGAAGACTCCCTTCCGTCCAGAGTGCTTCTGGAATCATGTAAGCCTTTGACCTACCGGTGCCTACGCGGGCGGAGCTACCGACTTCACCTGGAGCTTCACCCTTGGGATAAGTTGGGCTCATGTCGGGTCAACGCCAGTGTTGGTTACTGTTTTGGCTATATATTTACTGTTACCACAATGTGAAAAGCTTATGCTCGGTATATGCTCCTGTGACTCATCAAGATATAGTCAAGAGTTGCTCGAACACGGCGTAAACCACAAACGTAAATTGCCATCGGACATAATAACTTGAGATTATCCTAATAACCTCATTCCTACTACAAAAGGCACACACGCTGCTGCACCCTTAAGGCCACGCAGTGGGTGCCTAGCAAATTCGCAAAGATTACACCAAGTGTTTGAAGTACGCACAAGGCAAAGAACATCGCTATCGCGTTCAACTCCTGAAGTAGAAACTTAAGGGTCCACCAATTTTTTATATGCGCATCACCGCACAGTAACATGCACTTCAGATTGGTAAACTGACATCTGTTTTCTAAGGTGAGTATTGACGCTACGTCGTATAATATGTTACCTTTGGGCCTCACTAAATTCGACGTGCTTGGTAAGCCAATGATCAATCTCATAGCCTGAGGAGTCGACAGCAGGAGGGTCCTATGAATCTCTCTGAGCTCCAAATTGTTCCTTTTTCAAATATTTGCAGCAAAATGGAGAGCGGGTATAGTTGGGCTCGTGCTGTTCAGATCTTCTTTGTGATTCGTCTCTGCGCTGTTCTGCTACGAATTCCTCAAATAGGCACATTTCTCAAATACTTCTCCCCCTTCCGAAAAAGTTCCCCGCTACACACGTGCCCTCGACGTACGCATGGCCATTCAAAATGCACAAAGAAGTCGGTCCAACTCACAAACTTTACTCAAAAAGTAAAAATACTGCACATTTCTCTAGGAAGAGAGAGAGAATTGATTGAGAGAAAATGAGGAACGTCAATCAGGATTGTAGCATTCGGTTCGCCACCCTGCTCAAAGAGGAGGGGGATTGGGGAAGAAAGATGGGGAGAAAAGGCCACTACTTGTTCATTGCTCCGCGTGACACCGACTACCAAAATGGGTATATGAACGACTTTTTCAGGGGCGAAGCTCCTTATGGCGTGGTTTGTGCGTCCCCCGTTTGTCGTGCGTAACCGCTGGTGGTGCATACCTGAGAGAGCTGGTATTTGCCATAGGGGATACATGGGTGGTATGTGCCACCGGGGAAGGAGAGAGGCGATCGCGCGACTACGATCGCGATGAAAATGTGCGAGATGGCGGTACTTATAGTGTTTACCAGATGGACGAATGGACGGATGCATGGACGACAGACAGGCAAGCAGACGGAGGGACGAATGGGCGCACGGACGGGCGCATGGACGGACGGATGGACAACTGAAAGCATAGATACGCAGACGGACGGATGAACGCACGGATGGACGCAAGAACAGACGGACTGATGCAGGATGAACGCACTAACGAATGGAACCAAGAACGAACAGACAGATGGAAGTACAGACGGACTGACGGACGCTTCGCCTCACTCATCATCATTCACTCCATGGATATGTTGCGATGTTTTACATACATTTCCCGGGATTTTTTTTGCCAGCTGAAAAGAGTACTCATCTCGCACGTTGCTGAAAAAAGCTCAGCCTGAAGTTTCTAACCCTGCCTGTTATTTCTCATTTATACTTTTGCAAATAATCAGTGAGCCCAAGAGATGCATGATTCGAGCTGAAATAACCGTGAATCGGAGGGGGAGCAGAGCGAATGGGCGCACAAAAATAAACTAGCTACTTTTATAACAACTTGAGGTTTGTATGCGCAAGGTTTATTCCAGCATTATACTACCGATTAGAATAAATTTAGCCCCACTGATAATGGTTGGTAAGGTGTGTGTCCAGGCGAATAACTATCACTCTCTCAACGAGTTCATGTTGGCGGCGCTTCGGTTTTCCTTTAACTTTAATAACGCTGTCCGCTTTTTTTTATTTGTACTCGATAACAATTTCTAATCCTTCCTTGATATATTCTTCTTTCATCTGAGAATTCAAGAACATCAGCTTTTGAATGACAAGTATTTTTACTATTTCCACTACTATTAAGTGTCGTGGGTCCTCACTAAAAGCACAAATATTATTTTTGTAGACAAAACTCAGGCCCGAAAAAAAATACGGCTCTTGAAAGAGTCTGTACACAGTTAGGCCAGCAAAAGCAACACAGAAGGTATGATGATGATGATGAGGAGGATGATTATGATGATGATGTGCCTTAAGCTTCGTTGGCACTCGCCCACAATGTGGGATCGGCAAGAACCGGGCGGCAGGATCATCAAGCGTGTTAGTTATAAGTCAGGTATTCACACTCAGGTAGTCTCGTAGCCGTAAATAATAATAACAATAGACTAACAAGGTAATCATTTTCTTGCCATTATGAACGCACACACGACAGAGTAAACCTCCCTGTGGCTATAACCTAATGTAATCCCTCCGAAGGATAAAATTACTTCCACGTTTATTTTTAAACCTAGCTTCTCAATCGGTTCGACCAGGTATCTTTTCCATTGATGAGAATATCGTTGACAGGATAAAAAGAAATGATCTATTGATTCTGATTCCTTGCAAAAGAGACATAACGGAGATGCTGGGAGTCCAGCTTTATATATGTCAGTACACGACATGGCAGAGAATGAAGAAGACACCCTCGGACGCACGGGTCACGCGAGCACGGTTCACGCGGAGGCCTTCATCGCGATCTCCAGGCCTCATTCTTGGTCGTAGCCAGTCTACAGACGCAGATGTGCAGAGATGAATTCGCTGATCGGCAAGCAAGGCGACGTCGAGTTCAACCTGCGCGACAGGCAGGTGAGCGTGATCATCCTCCTGCTTGTGGCCATCGTAGCCGGCGTGTGTCGCGCGCTGCGACGCTTCTTCAACATACCCGTCGTTGCCGTGGTTGCGGCGCTGGGCTTCGGCGCAGGCCGCTTCGTCAGCGGCTACGACGCGAAAGAGAAAGTCCTTCCGGTTACTGACCAGCAAATCCGCGAGCTGCTGTTCCTCTACCTGCCCGTGCTCACGTTTACCGGCTCGATCAACCTGCGCAGCCACCTGTTCAGGCAGTGCTTCTGGCAGTGCGTGCTGCTTGGTTTCGGTGGTCTGCTCTTGAGCACCATGCTCTTCATGCTGTACATGTCGGGTATGCGCGACGCCGAAAAACAGCACCTGGCCGAGACGGTGCTCATCAGCTTGCTCACGTGCTGTCCAGAGCTTATGTTCGTGTCCGACATGAACGCGCTGTCGTTGGCCCACTCGCACATACTCGAGACCATCATCATGGGAGAGCCGCTCATTGGAGCCACCGTTCTCTGGATGGCCTACCGGTTCAGCACGCTGCCGGAGAAGTTGACTATTTACGCTTTCCTGAGGACAGTCACGTCTACGCTGTTCATCGGGCCGTTGGTGGGCAAGGCGCTGGGACACGCACTCGCGATGGTTATGATAGCGTTGGCACAGGACCTTCCCGTCTCCTTCATGGTGAGTGCTATCAGTGTTATAGCAACGTGGGCCTTCGCCGAGCAGTTTATGCACGGTGCTGGCATCAGCACCATCCTCTCGATGGGTCTCGCCGCTAGCTCCCATGCAGATGCCACTGTGTACAATCCGATATCGATCAGAAAGTTCTGGATGCTCATCAGGTACGGCTACGAAATCGTCATCATCTTCCTGTCTGCTTTTCGGATAGGCCGAGACTCGCGAGAGTTTCTGTCGTGGCACGAGATAATGAGCCCAGTCAACGCGTACGTTGCCAAGATCGGTGTCCGGTTTGTCACCATAATCGTGTTGTATCCGCTGTTGGCATCAGTGGGTTATAGCCTGAGTTGGCAGCAGTGCTTGATTGTGGCCTGGGCGAACTTCAAGGGCGCCATAATGATCGCCCTAGACTTGACCAGAGCTTTTCCGACCATCAACCTCAAGCACGCCCTCCAGGAACAATTTGTTCGCCTGGGCACGCTCTTCCTTGTGCAAGTCCTCAATACCACTACACTGCCAAAGCTAATGTCGATCCTCGGGCTGCTGGCACTGACGGACGTGGAAAGGGCCAACATGAACATGGTCATAATCGCGCTTCGAAACACAGCGAGTTCATCAACTAACTTTCAGCGACGAGACAAGAAGTTCTCGGGTGCCGACTGGAAGTGGGTTCAGATGCACACGTGTATCGAAAACCCTTATGAAGACGTCGACGAAGACGACCACGCAGAGCAGACAGACACATACTTGCCGGCACTCGCCTACAGGAATGCTGCTGCAAGGAAGGCCAGTTGTTCCATCCTTCGGCTTCAGAAGGTTTGTTGCAACAAGCAATACGAGGATGGCATGATTCACAGCAAAACTAAGAGCAAGATACTGGCCGCCCTGCAGTATGCTATGGAGAAGGAAGTCTCCCTGGATTACACCATGATGAAGCCTTTCGTGACCGTCCCCAGTTGGATCTATGGGCTTAAGGACTTGGTGCAACGATTCGCCGGTAACGAAGCCATCAAGAAGCGCCAATACAATACAAGACGTTCCACCCGCTCACGTACGGAAGATGACGAAGAGGACATAGAGCACGTTAGCCTCTTGTCAGCCATGCTCAAGGAAGGCTGGTACCATGCGCTAGTCGGATTCGTTGCTTTGGGCTTCGTCTTGCTGCTCAGTGGCCTGGCTTTGTTTATAATCAAAAAGCGCTCGGATCCGTCCCAGTACGAGCTACTCCTGTCGATCGCCACGTCAGTGCAAGCAGCTTACATTCTGCTCTACTCGATAGAGATGGTCATCCTGGTGTACACCCTTGGCATGCTGCGCATGGGTAAGAATCTTTGGAAGCAGCTTGATGTTATCATGTACTTCCTGGTCGTGATCGAGTTCTTCTCATCAGCATGACCTCCGTGAGCGGCGGCACCAAGCCTGACGCCACTTACACCAGCGTCCTGCAGATAAGCTTCATCACAGTAATCTCGTGTCGGATCGTGAAGACGCTGCAGAAACGCGTCGTGCTATTCCTGTGGATATGGGACATGCTGAATGGGCTGCTGAACCGCAAACTGTTCTACGCGTATGACCTTAGCTGGGCCTACATCACAGCTGAAGACGAGGCGATGAACAAGGTATCCCGTTTCGTCGCCATACCCCAGTTGGCGGCTTCCATACGCGAGAATAGTGGCTTGAACAAGCTGCACACGCTCAAAAACGTTGTGGACATCCAGCAGCGCTACCCCAATATCGAAGTGGCAACCAAGACTCGCCAGGCAGCTCGAAAGATCCTTAACAAGGCGTTCGACGGCCTCAGGGAGCTACACAAAGGGGGTTTACTGGACGACAAGCAGTTCAGCCTGCTCTTCTCCAACCTGTCGTGGATGATCCAGCGCGCCGATGGCATGCCCGCCAACGTGACCGTGGGCAACACAGCATTCAACACGATGCTCAGCGTGCCGTGGCTCTCGCGCGACGTCGTGCCGCAGCTGCTCAATTGCTTCTACCAATATCTGAAGGAAGGTGAGCTACTGGTGGAAAAGAACAACATGCACGACTGTGTCTTCATCATCTGCTCGGGTATCGTCCGGGTGAGCGGCTGCAACGAGGAGCCCTGGGCGAACCCCGTGCAGCTCGCCAACTCGGACTCTACGCGCTTCTACTTCTGCGAAGGAGCCTTCCAGGACTACCTCGTGGCGCCCGACAGTCTCGGCCTGTTGGGCTTCCTGACGTCGAGGCCGTCGGTGTGCCAGTGTGCGTGCGAGACGGACGTCGAAATGTGCTGCATCCCTATGGAGGAGATGACAACGCTGGTCGAGCAGCTCCCGGAGGCGCCAAACCTCGTCTACCGCATGTGGTTCAGCGTCGCCATTCGCATCGGGCTTGCCGTGCTCGTGAAGCAGAAGCGGTACCAGGTAGGTCTGTAGCTTTGATAGATTCAAAATTTCCAAATTCATAATAACGCCTTAGAACTAACAACAGCGTGCGCTGTTCTTCAGGCGCATTTTTCGGTACGAGAAATCACCTGGCGTTGAACGCAACAAGAGATAGACGTTGCCTGCACTGTTGTGTAACCGATTTTAAGAACAACGTAGGTATCGGAAGTGATGTACTCGCAATAAGTCAAAGTCGCGTTGCTAGTTGGGTGAGAACATTACCGTGTCAACTTGGCACGATTCAGTGTAGTGAAAAACAAACGTTTGCACTGCCGATCTCGCCTCCATGTTCTTCAATAAAGTGTTCTTGCCTATCCGCTTTCCACACTTATGACCTACTTAAAGAGTGTACCACTGATAAGATGTTAGTTTCTAACTCTTGTACAGTCTATCATGAAGTTAACGGAATATCTGGAGGTTCTGAAAAGTGTTATTAGACTGTAAAAGCTAACAACTGTCAGCAAATAAGCTCAATTGTGTATTGTAGGAACGTATTACGTATCTGTGTTCAATGATTGCGGCAGCGCTCCACTGACGACCGTTTAAAGGGCCGTGCGACAATTTTGAGACAGCTTTATATAGCAAGAGAACGCGAGTAGCAATGAATGCCGAGACGAGTGCGAGAATAATGGTACGAATTTCCGCCCGAGAACTCATGTCCAATTGTCGTGAAGACATCATGTCATGATGTCAAAATAACGTCACAAGTTCTTACAATTTGTGACGTAATAAGGACGTCTTCACATTGCGTTGGCTTTTTGCATCACAACATTTTGACGCCGAAGACGACTTCACGTTTGTGAGCGCTCCAAGGCTAATAACGCATGTCGCACGTCGGCCTACTTAGGATCTCAAACATGCAGCTCACAGACATATCGATAACGCCCCTGCACCTTCATGACTGCCTTTTATTGGCATGCTTTAAATTTCCTAATAAGTAAGTTCATGAGCTACACAAATATGACTTGTCTCAAGTAGCTTCTGGAGGAACCCCATTCGACCGATATGCTTTGGAACATAACCGTACAACGGAAACTCTGTATTTCATAACTGGGGTTGAGATTTAAGGTGTTGTGGGCATCGATATCCACTTGTTTCTGATGTCGAACCCCTTCAAAAATAAACCATATATCGTATGTGAGAAATACTTTCGAATGGCAACGTTAGCTGACATTTTGTTCAAAATGTGAGCTTAACGGTACCTTCGAGAGCTTCATACAACTAACAATGTTTTACATTGCCTCCATAATCAGCATACCTTAAACCAGGTGGCGATAGTATGTGATTACGTCATCAGGTAACGTCACGTCATGCGACTTCATAGTGACTACATCATTAAGTCATGAGTATTGTCAATCTGCGACTTTTTCGACGACGTATATGTTGACGTCATGAACAGATAGCGAGTACTTGTTGACGCTGCCACTCGTGTTGACGCCGCCAGTACAGATGGTGAGTTTTTGCGTTTCATGACGCATCGAAGGATTTTGACAGTTAAAAAACAAAACTGGTGGCACTGCGGACTCACGCATGTGCTTCTCCCGCTCGGCAGGAGTGGACGCACGACAAGCTGAAGCGCTTCCTGGAGAACGGCATCATGCCCAACTTGTACTACGCCATCGACTTCTCGCTCGACGAGGCCGTGCTGGACGTGATCCTGGTCCAGGGCGTTGTCCAGTGCTCCAAAACGCACGAGCTCTACACGGGGCCCTCGTACATCCCCAGCACGGTGCGCGAGATGACGCTACCGGGCATCCCTTCCGACAGGGCCCGGCCCATAATGCTCATCACCACCGTGATGCGCTACCACCTGCCGAGCGACCTGGACTGGTTCCACCAGCCGCTCACGCACTACGACTACAAGAAGCAGCGCACCCTCTCCATGGCGGTCGTCAGAACCGGCTGAACAATGTGGCTCGCTCGAAGGCACGACATATGTGCCGCCTTCTTGCCATCGGAACAACGACCACATGGCGATGCAATATTCTTTGAAGCTAGCTACACAGACTGTTGTGCCATTTAACTTCAGTATAGTTATGTAGTTTTTGTTTTGCACACTAACCTTTTTTCGAAGATTGATTCTCTCTTCACCAAGTTACATTTACAATTTTTATATATTTATTTCGTTTATATAATTATTTCGCCGTAGTTTTCATAATCATCCACCTTGTGTAGAATTTGCTATCAAAACGTATTCGCCACGGAGACTTGCTGTTACAGCAGCATCTTACCGATTACGATTGGACTCGAAATGCTTGCTACTTATGAAGTGAAGGACGCTGAACTGAAGCACTTAGAGTTTTTTTTAATTTGTTTCTGAATCGCTCATTTAGCGCTGTGTGCATCTTCTCATCGTACGTTGACGACACTCAGGCCTGTTTCAGGGCTCGTGAAGGTGCCGTGGAATTTGGGAACGGTGTCGCTACAGAACACGCTGACAGTATGCAGTCATTGCACTAGACTGCTCTGGCTACAGTATACAGTCAGTGCAGTAGACTGCTCTGGCTCATTGCTCGAGGCGGATGCACTGAAGTTCGTGCTCTTCAGTGGTGGTTGCAAAGCCAGCTGTAGCGTACTTTGCCATCAGAAATTTGAAGTCGTAATACTGTGAATAATTGTACGAAAGACAACTTTTGCCACATATGACATTTCGATCTCCTGATCTGCCTTAGATCAGCACATGCGATCACTTGGCCGTTTCTTGTTCTTCATGTACTATATACAAGAGCTTGGATGCGGGTCTCTCGTGTAATGTGAACCGACGCAATGAGACATGGCAGCTTCATTACAGAGCTGTAACTCATTCCTCACGCTCATTGTGAGCCGCGACCAATGACGTTCATATAAAGCGCATGTGATCTCCACCGTGGTGTATCGCGCCCGTAAACTTGAGAAACGCGGCTGTGGCGGTTCATCGCTGAGCACACCCGCTTGCTTACAATTGATCTCCAAAAACAGTCCAGCGAATGATTATATTTATTTGTGCCTGGAAAGCTACATCGCTTTCGGGGTATAAGGGGATAAAGATCGCAGCGATCCGAGCAAGGCGCAAACTGTCTTATAACCGTAAGAGTTGTGCGCATCGCTTAACAATTGAAGCGTCTCGTGTCGCACGTGCTAAGGTGCCCTACTTATTTCTGCCACGCAGTATAGGCTGGTGGGCTGGTCTTCTAGAGTCGCAGGCGCCTGTATCCTCATCTAGGCCTGGCTTTCCCATTCCCATTCGGGATCAGCGAAGTGTGTTAGATATGCCGCGACGACCTGGCACCCATACTGACCCCACTCTACGTGAATTTTAAGAGTGAGAGCGGTCTGTCCGACCTCGCACCTCTACCCAGATATATGCGACAAATGCAAAAACTGGGATTCTAGAACCACTTTCTAGAATCGCCTCCGCGAGTGCTTGTTGCACAGCTCTGCCCTTGCGACAAACTTGGGCTGTCCAGGCGCGGGCCGAGTAAGCCGCGAGGAGCCGAAAACTCCTAATAATGGCCGTAATCTAGATGAGACCTTTTGCACATACCACTAACATTCAGGACATTCCAGTAAAGTTGCTTTTGTGTATATACTAATGTGAATGCATCTCACAAGACTCGGCACGAGTAATCGAAATTAAAGATGTAGTACCGTCCACCATGAAAAAAGTGGACGGTACTACATGTGGTTATGAAAAACTGCATGCATATTACCTGCAGTGTGTCAAGAAAAGCCAGAACTTTCAACCACCAGTGCCCTTATGTATATCTATGCCACCATGACTCCGTAAGATATTGAAACATCTGTGCACTCGGGAAGTGGAGGAGACTTTACCTACTGCCAATCCCCCCGTTGGGTGTGAGCCATACAAATAGACCTTCAATATCATCATCCTCCCATACAGACCGCGAATCACTCAATATAACGGCCGAAAAATTTACTGAAATTTTTCGAAGGGATAGAAGCTTTGCGAAGAGCTCTGCTATACGAACATGGCAG